TTTGTCACAGCCCCTCGTTTGTTGTCCTCTTCTCTCTCTCTGCCTACGGTTTACCGGGCAGTTCTATTTGTGACGATATATATATATATATATGTGTGTGTGTGTGTGTGTGTGTGTCTGGGCACCTGCATCATAGCTCTGCATTATCAGATTCTGCAAAGTGCTGCCTCCGGGGACACAGCCATTGGTCCAATGCAATCTTCGTGGGCTGACAAATCAATGTGACATGAACCAACATGGAAACACGCAGCTACGCAAATCAGAAACAAGGAGACTCATCTGACATTTTCTGTGCTCCCTTGATGCCGTGTGGGCTCTTCTTGTCTGCAGCGGAAGTTGTAATAGTGGCGGTGTTGTGGGCAATATGGACCCTGTGGGATCAATGGATTCAGCAAGGGAAGACTGTCACAATGCAGTTCATTGTTCTGCTTCTGATTCAATGTAGTATCAATAGCTCTAGCAGTCTTACCTGTTTGTCTATCTCCAATAACAAGTTATCGCTGTCCTTGACCTATTAGAACAAGGACATCCACCGCGTTTAATCCTGTTTGCATTGGTTCATGCCCAGATTTACGTGAAATGATTCCCGGAGCTTCGACTTCTACACGTCTTCATGCTACATCCCCTAAAGCACCTTCCGTCAATAGGTTCTAATGCATCAACAACACGACCCAACATAGATCTTTCTATGGGAACATCTGCAATAGATCCAGTATTTGACAATATCTCCTTCTTTAATGGCAGTATTGCAAAACCGGACATTGGAGAACATTAGGATGGCAGTGATCATGCGCCTGACGGGCCTACGTCAGTTGGTACACCCATGAACAGTCAGAATACGTACCGGGGTCCGAATCCTAATGGAACTAGTTGAATGGAACTTCTGAATTACCTGCGGCTGGCCATTTCGACAATGACGTCTCAAGGTCATCACCCTTCTCGAAAGAAAAGGGGAGGATGGCGGTGATGGTGGACTTCAATAGATGCAAAAGGAACGTGGCAGGAGACGAAAAAAGATTTTGGAAAGTATGGGAGAGAGATGGATCGTTGTTCAGAGAGGCCACCTTCAGTATGGGAGGCTGCGGTGGCATTTCGTGGAGGTGGTTATATTCCATGGTTACTTGTTTTAGCTGGTGTGTATGGTCCTTTGTGGGTTTCTTCTTTTTTGGTTTGAGGTTTTTTAAGGATATGTCAGGAAGGGGTCTTGAGTTTTTTTTGGGGGGGGTAGGTTAGGAAAGGGTTTTGAGGTTTTTTTGCTAAGCAAGAGTGTGGAGAATAAGTAAAACAAGAGTGTGGACAATGAGTAAAATGCTGGGAGTAGCATGAACAGTTGGGGGACTGTCAGATGATAGGGTGAGGCAGATGGGTGTAGGTTGTAATAGTGAGGATGGCATGTTGAGCGGTTGATGATGAGGCGAACGGGGAGGGGGAAAGGTAGTGGGCTCAAATGTATAGCGGTAAGAAATGGGAGTCGTACAATGTACAGGAGTGCACTAGGGAACATAGTAGGCTTTAAATGGGCTGGGTTTGGAGTTAGGTTGTGTGGAAGGGTTCTATGGGAACATGGGCAGTACACAGTAGGCAGTTTCTCCAGTTCTGGCTTGGCCTCAATTTCCTAGGGGTGTTCATGGTGAGCAACTGGGTACTAATTGGACATTTCCCAGCCCACATGAGCGCCCCGTTAGCACACTCTGGATATAGGGTCAGAAACTTGACCTTCTGCCTCCCCTTGGTGTGGTGGGCAGTGCTGCAGGGGTGTGGCATTGCTAAGGTTGTCTTTTTGTCTGTTCTTCCTTTTCTCCCTTGCCCTACTCTACCCCCTTGTTTCTCTTTCTCTGTCATGAGCTGATTATTGATGCTTGCCGGTGATAAGCAACTGGATTGACCCCCCAGAAGAGATGGCGCAAGTGTGTGGGTGTGCAAAAATGTACAAAAAAACAACGAAAGAAAGTGCTCTTGTGTGAGTCTGCCCTAGGATGTCAAGCTTCTAGTCTTTGCCTCTGTGTGCTACTATGATGCTCTTTGGGTTCTTGAAAGTGTGCCTGCCGCAGAGGTGCAAATTCCGACAACTCCCTGCCATTCGCTCCTTGCGGCGTTCTTCCGGAATTTTTTAGATTCCTTGTCAAATCAGGTTAGGCCATCAGGTGTTGCGGCATTCTTCTGGATTTTTTTAGATTCCTTGTCAAATCGGATTAGGCCATCAGGTAGCAGTTGTGTGGTTGGACATATCTGTTCACTCTCTAAGGTACTAAGGAAATGAAACTGATCCTTCATGGTTTTCTGTGATTTATGTGTGCCTGCAACAGCAGGGGGTGGTGGTCCCATCCTGGGAGATTTGTGGGTGTTCAAGGGAGTCGCAGGTGAAGGTGAGAAAACTGAACTGAGACTGAACTCATGGATGGTGCTCCATAAGGGGACCTCATGTGCAGACAGGATCATTTTTTGTCTGCAAAACACACCTTAAATGGCCACACATGCTTTCTTTCATGGAATCACTAGTGTGGATCGGGTTCTCATGTGCCCTTGGCTGTCTGGACTGGACCAGGGCAGCTTGGTTTGCTACGCTTAGCCCCTTGCTCGATTTTCGTTGTGTGTGTTTGGGTTGTCAGTACTGCTGGACATTGTTTTTAGGGAAACAAGCGGATCCTGCATCAGCTACGACTACGGCGTACATCTGCTGCTGCTTCTCCCTCCCATTCATCCGCCACCTCCCCTCGTCCTCCCCTTTCTCCACCACCACATGGAAAGCTTGCCGCCCCATCACCCTCCTCCGCAGCGACCTCATCCTCTGCGGTGTTGTCCTCCTGCCCCTCCTCTGCCATGTCCTTCTCCTCCTCCTGCTCGAGTTGTATCATCCTCCTGTAAACCTGCTCCTCGTCCCCCTCGTTCATCTGCCACCTCCTTCTCCTCCTTCCTGTTGTCCACCACCTTCTGGCTGCCCTGCTCCCCGCTCACCACCCTCCTCAGTCACCTCCTCCTCTGCTGTGGTGTTGTCCTCGTGATTTCAGACCATGGACCTCTCTCTAGTCAACATTCCACGTGTACATGGACTGATGTGGCCAAGCCACAAAAGAAGGAAAAACATGGCCAAAGATGGGCAGTGGTGTCATGTGGCCCGGGTGATACTACGTGGTGCGGGCGGTATCATGTGGACTGGGCTGTACCATGTGGTGTGAGTCATACTATGCGGACAGGATGGTTACAACACAGCCATAAGACACACACACACACAACGGGTCTATAACAGTCTCTCTCAGTTGCACGAATTACGTACAACAATTCTTTCAAGATGTCAACGGAGTTCCTCTAGTTTTGCGTACCAAGCACCTACTCGAGGGTGCCTTACGAGTTACCAACACCTCTCTTCAGCAGCTACACCAGCAATTTGCCATAGTACCAGTCAAAAAAAGCTCGCATAACTTGGCAATCTGCGGCAGACGCCAGTCCACATACAAGTTAACACAGTATCTTGATACTCCGACATATAGTCATGCACCGGAGTCTGTGGCCACAGTAGCTTGATACTCCGACATATAGTCGTGCACCGTGGCCAGCATCTTTGATAGCCATGCACTTTTTGATCAACACTGGGGCTATCGGCATACTGACACCCTCCCTTATTTATACTTCGGACTCGAAGCACACAACTCTCCATGGGCTCTTCGCCCGATTCTTGGTGTCACTCAGCGGGCAACCTTTCCCAATATGCACCTTGCTCAACGACTTGCCACCCTTCAGCCTTGGACCTGCATAACGGGTTCCCTCATAAGCCTCTTGCGAGTACAACAATGGCTTCTCGCTCACTTAGCATGATCAGGTGTCTGCGTAGTAAGGACACTGAGCTTTATGAAGAAAGTGGTGTATGACGCTGCTGGATCATGCAAAGTGCTAAGGAGGTCATCTTGGATCTCCATCAGAATGCACATTCCCTTGGATGCTCTCCGCCACACACAGCGGATTATACAAGTGTACACTAACCTGCCACTCCACAGAATCCTTAATAATGTGCTCAATGTTGTTCATGAAGCACATGATTTATGCCTTGGCGCTGATTCCACCGGGAAGAGGGCCAGTCCAAATGCACTTGACAGTAGGAGGTCCTCATCCCGGGGAGTGGGTTACTACATGTGGCTCGAACACCCTTTCAGTGTCAGACATAGAACAACATCTGTGGTTTGTGGTCTCTGACTCAGTTTTTACACAATGGATGGCACTCTGCGCCATCAGGTTGTCTGTTCGCTGGACCAGAAATTGTCAATCTCACACTCTATTGGGAAGAAGCAAAATCGTCAATCTCACACTCTATTGGGACAAAGCACGGTCATTGATAAACTTCATTGTGAGATCTGCATGCAGCTCAGTCATATGCTTTCACATATTGGTTCATGGATGACATCCTATCTTGGAAGATATCTCCTCCCCCTCCTCCTTGGTATGGTCTCGAGCAGAAAGACAATACCGAGCAAGATGGATCATGTGTCGTCCTCGCGGCTGGCTCGGCTGACATGTCAGCGACATGTCATGTGTCGTCAATGTTTCAAGCAAGCTGTCATAGAAACTTTTTGTCTGCTGCATGGACTATCCCTGATGCCATCATCCACCACACCGTCTTAGCATGTCCCACACGCTATGTCGGGCAAACACCTGCTGCAATCACAGTGGGATCTCGCTCATCCTTGCTGGACGAACAGCAGATGCAGCAGCCTGAGGAGGACAATAGACTACCATATTAACCACCTACAGAGTGCTCCACTGAAAGGTTATCACCGCCAGGGCGAGATGTTGCAGACCGACTCGTGCAGCAGCTAAACACCCTGGCTTTAGATCAATCCCCGTCGTCCTCTGCCCATAGAGAAGGAATAAATACTGGGGAAACCTGCTCAATGCCACTTTGTTATGACCCACCTGAGATTCGGCTAGCATGTGGTTCACATGTCTTGTGCCGTGCCGTGAGGATTATGAAGGGATAGCCCATGCGAGTTTTGTTTTCATATGTATGATGACAGTCAATACTGCACTCATGCACGACACCCTCACATGTCATGTCCAATTTGTAGACGGGCTGGAACTGCAATGCCTCTACAATTGTGGTTGACGTACCTCTGTGTTCCTAGCATGTAGGAGCAATGTGGCCTGTTCGTGCCATTCAATGCAGCAAGTGCGACCCTTCTGATAGGAAGATGTATGACGGAAGGGGAGTCAAAAAGACAGATGATGGTGGAAGAGCTCAACTGGTCAGACAGTGGGGCATGAAGGAGTAGGTAGGACTGAAAGAGAAGACAGAGAGAAATGTTAGACAGACATGAGTGTGTGTGTAGAAATACATGGTTTGCGAAACAAGTTGAGGTGCTGGTAGTAGCAGAAGAGAGGTCAGTTGGTCAAATAGGTGTAGGGACAAGTGATCCAGACTGACGATGTGTACATTAGTGGGGATTGGTTCTTTGGATGACTCCGGAGAGACAAATGGATCTGAGTCACAAACTCTTTATTGCAGTTGAGTCTATTTAACTCCTGATTATATTATTGGGGTATTCTATTTGGTGAACAAGATCACTTTCAGTGTTGTGCTATGCCATTGATGAGTGTGAGTATTGATTCAGAGTGTGTGACCAACACATCTGTCCCTACTTGAGCTATGCTGCTGAAGACAGCAACCTAAGATTTATGGAAGGAATATTGGAGTTGGGTTGCGTCATCAGAAATGGATTGTTGAATTTTCATTCCTTTGTCCTTAATGAGATTTTTTTTTTTGGAATGAAACTCAGAACACCATGCCAAGACTGGGGTACATGGTTTGGATGCTTTTCATTCTTCTGACAATGCAAAAAAAAAAGGATCCCCAAGAGGTGTGCCTGACCAAGCTGTGATCGAGACTTGGAAGGCATGAACCCATCGAGACTTGGAAGGCATGAACCCAAAATGACAACCTGATGATGAAAAGAAAAAGAGAGAGTATTTTTTTGTACACACACACCCACTCACACGCGCGCGCGCACACACACACACACACACACACACACACACACACACACACATCATCACACACACACACACACACACACTCGCCAATGGTTCAATGATTTGAGCATGACATATCAAGGAAAAACGTCATTCATCCATTTGGATGCCAGGATTGGAAAAGAAATACCAAGCCTGTGATGAAAAATTGGCATCTTTAGGGTGTAACCCCCAGCATCGGCTGTTGACCGAGCATAACCAGGCTGCGGACCATTCGATTATGACCTGGAGTTAGAAAAGAGGGGATGACCGCCCCGATACCTGCGAGAATTGGATGTGGTGCTTCCGCAGTCCATACTCGAACCGGTCCTGTCCAGTCCGTAGGGGTGGCCACTTACCATAGGCAACGACTGCTCCTCAACTCAAAATCGCCTGCAACCCAAACACTGAGTGACCTCATGTGCCGTTCTAGAGTAGTCTGCGTCAGTGGTGAGTATTTAGAGCCCTGTGAGGACTCCACCTCCAATTTCCTTCCTCCCTCCTCTTCTATACTACTAGTAAGTGCATATGGATGAGCATCATTAAGACAACAGAATATCAGCTGAAGATCTGAGGAAAAATAAACAGGAATATCCCTCCCCCTTCACTGTGCCTCCTTCCATAATGTGCAAGTGGGCGGTTATGGCAACCGGGGAGTGGGCAGCTCGCACACAACCACAATCAACGCGGCGAGCCTTGTACATGAGAGGCACAGTAGAAGAGGAGTTGCAAGCACAAATGGAATGGGCATTGGGTACCCAAAAAAGAAGTTAAGGAAGGTATTTCAACGCTTCTATTTTCCTCCGTGTTGCTTTGCTTACCATAAAGGTAATTGTTTCATTGTTGGTTTGTCTCAACTCAAGTGTTTTCGTTGTCTGCAATAGGGCTAAAGGTGCTTGGATTTTGGATCTACTCATCTGAGTGGGCTGTTGTGAAAATTCAAAACACACCGCACACGCATGCACCGCACACACGTGGGGGCACACACACTCAGGCAGGAATTCACCGTTGTGCATTCGGCAACAGTATCCCGGGTTACTTCGCTTCATCCTCTGTGCTCTGCACCCTCAAGCCCTGAAAGAGGTCTGTCACCGCCAGTTGATCTTGGCGCCGACCAACAGCTCACAGGTCGTCTCTTCATGACGCAGACTGGCCATGCTGGACTCCAGACGTAACCGCTCCCGTGTCATCGATGGGTTCTTCTCTGCCCCGAATTGTCTACTCCCAATTTGTCAGAGGCATGGGCACCCACTCCCTCCCAGGCTGTATGTCCTCTGTATTGAACACCTTCACGAGATGTTGAGAGTGAACTTGGACCTTTGTGGCTTCCACCTGAACTCAAGTGCACCAGAGCAGGACCCAGGCCTCG